AAGATTAGAGTATCACTTAATGGAAACGCCATAAGCAAGATTCTTAACCTGGGGTCTGTGGACTTGGTTTTTAAGAATAATTTGTGAAGTTCTTTGCAAACCTCAAAGTATTACATATTTTATGCATTTAAAAGCATAATTCTGAGAAGGGATCCTTAAGCTTTACTAGGCTGCCTGCAGAGTCCATGATTCAAAAAAGATGAATAACCCACCACTAAAGAGGGTATTTCTGTACTAGGGAAGCATTTGGACTAGAAGATGGCTAAGGTTCTTTCCTTTTCAGTGTAGAGAGAAGATCTGAAGTTTTGTTTGTTTTTGAAGTGTTTGAGCGTAGATAGTATCCAATTCATATAGTGTTGTGGCTTATATTTAGTTCATTTCTTTAATTGGTAGAGATATGTTTTATAATCGCATAAGATTTGTTTTAAAATACTTCTTTTTTTCTTTATTTCAAGCATGGTAGCAGTCTTATAGGCATGTCTGATCTCAATGTACCTGAGCAGCTTTATCAGTATATGGTTGGAGGTCACAGGCGCTTTCAAGCAGGAATGCATAGAGAAAAACATAAATCTCCAAGTTATCAAATTAAGGTAAGTGTATAAAGTGAAGCAGATTGAAATGCGGATAAGCACTAGTTCTTAAGTTTTCATATTATCATTGGGGAAACCATTGAAAATAGGTATTTTTTGAATGAGTGATGCACGAATAAATTGGGGAATATATTAACTAAATAATTCCAATCAGAATCCAGAATAATTTTTTTAACCGAAAATAAATTCAGAAGTCATGTATGTGAATTGGAATTGACTTCAAAAATTATCTTTTGATAGGAAGGTGATACAATCAACGTAGATGTGACTTGTCCTGGTGCAACTCTAGCTTTGGCGATGATCTACCTGAAAACTAATAACAGGTATTGATTATTTACAAATTTGCCTTTTCTTAAGTAAAACATACCTATAATCATAAAGCAGAAAGAAAGCTCTCTAAATTCTTGTTCCATGGATGAATCTCTAATTATCAACCCCCAAATGCAATATCATTTATAAAGATTTTAGCTTTGGGTCATAAATTTTAGATGATAATAAAAAAAATCTGACAGTGTCCAGTTCTTACAAATTTCCAGATTCTAAAATTTTTGAAATTTCAGTACTTATATGGTTTATGTTACTAGCAAAACAGCCTGTTAGGTCATTTATTTTAAAGTGAGTCCAAATTCTGGTTCATCTTCCTATATACAAATACATAAATTCTGTTTTAACTTAGCCCTTGCCACCCCCCCCAAAAAAAAACCTTGAACAAACAAAACCTGTCTTCAGTAACTTTGCTTATACTGTTCCTCTGTCTGGAGGACTTTCTTTCCTGTCTCTGAACCCGTCCTCCAGTGCCTAGTTCAAATGTTATCTTCCCCATAAAACTTGTGCTGATCCCCTCATGAATGAAAAAGCCTCTTCCTTCTATTGGCCTCTTGATTTTTATCATATCTGAAGTGCAAATGTTATCTATCCTACTGTATCATAAGCTCCTTAAAAGCAGGACCTATATCTTCAATTTTATATTGCTGTCTGTGGCTAGTACTCTGCATTGCAATAGGTGGCCAGAAAACCTTCATTGTTAAGTTTTTTTGTTCATCAGATGCATTGCAGATACTTTCAATACTGCAAGAATTTTCTTTATAGTGGGAAATTTCAACTTAGCTGGGCACATTATCTAAAGTATCTCTACTGTGAGTTTAATCAATTTTATTAGATCATTGTAAGTTTAAACGGAAACAATGAGAGGATGTATTTCAAGAGATTTTTTTCAATGTTCTGAGACTTTTCCCTTCAATAATAATAAATCAGTCAGCAGGCTTTAATAAAAAACTGCACGCTAGGCACTATGCTAGGCACTGGGGATGCAAAACAAAAATGAAACATTAACTTCAAGGGCCTCTCATTCAGTTGCAGAATAGAATAAAAAATTAATGTATGACATAATTAACAAAATAGTTGAACATAATGATATTTTGTGATTTAATATTCTTGATTATGTTGCTTCTTTTAGAGACTTATAATTTGATTCTGTCATTTATCCTAATGGTGTTATTCTGCTTAAACAGGTCTATTGCTGACTGGCTCCGAGCTCCTGATACAATGTATCTGTTGGATTTTGTGAAACCAGAATTTCTTTTGCTTAGGGTATGGACAGTGTCCCTCTAAATCTTAGCATGATGGAGGCAGTGACCATTATTTTCAATATTCAACTTGTGTGTTTTTCCTAAAGACATTTCTAATGGGCATTGTAAAACTGCTTCATTAGTGAAAAGAGACTTAACTATTTTTGCCAGTAATTTCATTACCTGATACTTGGGATAGCTGTTAGACTTCCCAAGTTATAAATAGCAACCTGTATTGCATACTTTGTTTCTTGTTTTTATTCCATTATATTACTAGGAAATATTGTTTTAAAATATTGCCATTCTACTTAAACAAGTTATTTTTGTTTAAAAATATTGTTTAAAAATTTTTTCCTGAAGAAATTTAAGAATTAATTGCTAGCCACTTTTAATGAAGCCTGCCATTTTAGAAGAGTTTCTGTGCTTAATTGGGAAAAGAGTTGTGGGGAGGGAGAGATTAGGTGAGTGTAATTAAAATTTTCCTAAAATTATTTTGAAGGATGCCTGAAAAGACAGCTGGTATATGAGATTTTCCCTAGTCCTGGGAAAATCTAGTTCTCATACATCTGTTTTGGGTCTTCTTTTGTTATAATCAAGACTTAAGGTGCTGGATATCCTCTCTGTGAATCTAAAACCACATCCCCACCTTTTCCTAAGGGAGCAGTGTGGTGTAGTGAAAAGAGTAATAGACTGTGTCAGAAGAGTCTTAAGAAAAATTTGCTAATTTACTCACTGTGAGCCTGAGCAAATCACTTCATCTCTGAAACTTTCCTTATCTGTAGAATTGAGGAGATTACATTGCTAAAGTTCTATAAGTTCCCAATTTCTCTCACCACTTGAAGGGAGGGATTATAATGGCAGTGTGCTTCCTGGCACTTGGCTCTCTGGATGGCACTAAATATATCCCTGTATTCCTAAGATGCATACAACTAACATGTTGCTAATCTGTTAAGTGCTTTTACTGTGTAATTACAAAACTATTTCTTTATTACCAAATAGCTAAGAGGCAACCAAGGGTTTTTTGTGCATTTTATACAGAAACTGACTGTCTGGAGTTTATCATAGGATTGGTTATTAGAGAATGCCAGAATGTCCTTTTAATCATTATAATGTGATTATAATACAGAACTTTGCATATTTTATTAACCTTGAGCTTTTTCTGATCTTTTTCTTTTTTTAAGACTCTTGCTCGATGCCTGATTTTATGGGATGACATTTTGCCAAATTCCAAGTGGGTCGACAGCAATGTTCCACAAGTGAGTACATTTGCTGGATTTTGTCAAATTTTTGTCAGTAACAACTATTGCTTACAATTATATAAAACATTATAGCTTACATAACTTTCTACACAGCAACCCTGTGAGATAGTATAGGCATTGCTATTTCCATTTGAGAAAAGACTAAGCAATGAAATCAGTTCTCTCTTTATAGGTTATTGTTTTAAAAAACACACATTGATCTGTGGGGTAAAAGAAAGAAGGGATCATTGAGGTACAAAAAGGGTATAAGGAGTACAGATTAACTTGGAAACTTAAAGAATTAGGATAAACAAAAGGTCTAGGAGTTGAATTATTATTCCGTGAGCTAAGCTTTTGACCTCCTAGAAGAGAATGACTATCTTTTGTGGGAGAGAATAGGGTGATGATGATGATGATGATGATGATAGTGTTTACATAAGTGTATACTATGTGCCAGGCATTTTGTTAAACATTTTGAAGATATATGATTTGATCGTCACTACAATCCTGGAAGGTAGGTACTATTATTATCTCCATTTTGCAGTTGGGGAAACTGAGGCAGAGGTTAAGTGATTGACTCAGGGTCATACAGCTAGTAAGTGTCTGAAGCTGGATTTGAACTCAGGACTTCTTAACTTTAGTTCCAGAGCTCTATCAGCTCCACCACCAGTGGCCTCAAGAACTTGAACTTTGAATGGTAAAGGGGAAGGATAAAGGGCCAAGAATGGGTGATGAATCTCAATCAAATCCATAAATAAATAGTGAAGGAGTAGTGAGAGATGGGAAGGTGAAGCTGAGACAAAATTTATTATGGAAAAAATGGTTCCAAAAAAGCAAGAGTTGTAATCATGCTAACAGATGAGGCAGAGGTCAAAGGCACAAGACAGAGAAGCAGGAATACTACATTGTACTTAAAGGAACCATGGACATCAAACTAATATCAGTGCTAACCACATGTTAATGGACTTGGAAAATTCTTTTGTCTGATCATACTCTTGTCAGTGACAATGCATCCTAAATTGTTGTGCAGATTTAGTGCTGTATCAATCCACTACCAAGGGGATACCTTATATAGATAAACAAAGTAACAACAGAATTCATTCCAAGTAACAAAAGGTCTAAAATCTTAAGGGAAACGATGAAAAAAGTAAGAATGAAGGGAGACTACCACGTCCAGATTTCCAGTTAAGTTATAGAGCAGTAGTCATCAAAACTGGTTAAAAAAAATACAAAGTAGACCAATGGAATAGAGTAGATATGGAACAGTAATAGTAGTAGCCAGCATACAGAGAGCACTTGAGGATTTTCAAAGTGCTTTTTGTACGTAATCTCATTTGATCCTCAGAGCCGCTTTGTGAAGTGTAATTATCCCTGTTTTATAGATGAGAATACTGAAATTGAGAGTGGCTGAAATCAACTTATCCTGAGTCACACAGTTAGTAATTATTTGAGGGAAGATTTTAACTTAGATCTTGATTCCATGGCCAACAGTCCATCTACTGTACCACCTAATTGCCCTTAAGATAAGGAAAAATTGGAAGTGATAGAACTCAGTGTAATAGAATTCAGTAACGCAGTGTTTGATAAATTCAAGAACAAATTACCTGGGGAAGAGATGGAAATTAGACCAGTGAAAAGCAACTTTCCAGTGAGGAGACTGGGCTTTGAATCACATTGTTTGTTCTTTTTCAGTGAGAATTAGCTTGCCACCTTTTCTCTCTTCTTCACCTCTAATTCCAACCACAACCATGTTCTTGTTTCCTTTAAAAAAAAAAAAAGATCACTTCCAGCTCTAAATTCAGTAAATATTTGGTAAGCTCCCTTTTGTGAATTTAGGTTTGGTTTTAACAGTCACATGTCCTTGGATTAGTTGAAAATATAAAGGATCAAATGGATGAGATTAAAATATGGGTACTATTATAACATGATGTGAGAAAACTACTAATATATGTAAATATATACATGACATATCATGTCATGTATCTTAGTCTTTAAATCACTTAAACATGTAAGTTGAAAACCAGTTATGGATATCTAAGAATGATTGATTTATACTTTACAGATCATAAGAGAAAATAGTATTTCTCTTAATGAAACTGAAATACCATCCTCAGAGGACCTGAACTTGGAAACCCTAGCGTAAGTACTATAATATGAAAAAGAATTGAAAAGCTTAATTCCTGTCGGATACATACTCTTTATTTTATATATTATTTTAAAATTATTATTATCATCAAATTAGTATAACACATGATTAAATAATATTTACATTTTTAATTAATAAAGATGTACTTTCTCTTCCTTCCACTTTGTTCCCCTCATTGGAAAAAGAATTAACAAAACCCTTATAACAAATATACATGGTGAAGTAAAGAGAACCCCCACATGGGCCATGTCTGAAAAATAAATGATATGTGCTCTTTAAAATGTAGTACATACAAATGAGAGGCAATTCAGTTCAGTTACTTTTTGTCAAGCATTTAGTAAGTACATTCATGACTGAAGATAGTGTCATGCCTACTAAGCGTAAGTGTGTTCCCCAAGGCTTTGTTCTTGGCTCTCTTTTCTTCTGCCTTTATGTTCTCTCACTTGAGGATCTCATTAGCTCCTATAGGTTCAGTTATCTCTCCAGTAATGATTTCCAGGTGTGTATATCCAACCTTAGTCTCTCTTTTGTGCTCCACTCCTTCTCATCACTAACTACCTTTTGTATATCTCGAACATTGTAGGTATGTCAAATTCGCCATGTCCAAAACAGAACTCATTATTTTTCCCCCAAGCCCTCTTTTCTTTCCATCTTTCCTATTACAGTTGAGGGTACCACCATCCTCCTAATTCCCCTGATTCACAGCCTTGATGCCATCCTTACTCACACTCACCTTACTAATTTCATCCCTTTGTCAGTTCAGTCTGTTGTTAAATCTTGTTGTTTCTATCTTTGCAACATCTCTTTCTGTATGTCTCTTTTTTCCATTGACACAATCATCACCTTAGAACAGTCTATTGTTACCTCTCTCCTAGATTGTTTCAGTTCCTTCTAACTGGTTTCTCCATTCCAAGTCTCTACCTGCTCCAATCCAACCTCCACACAGCTGCCAAAGTGATTTTCCTGATGTATGAACAATATACCCATCGTACTCCATTGGCTTCCCATTACCTGCACAATAAGATATAAAGTTGTCTGGCATTTAAACCCCTTCACAGTCTGGTACCCTCTTACTATTCTAGGCTTCTTATACTTTATTCCAGGGATGGGAAACCTGCAGCCTTAAGGGTATTTGTTCTGTGAAGTTTGGATTACTCAGAGGGTCACATTTGAGGACCTAGAAGGGCCACATGTGGCCTCAAGGCTGCAGGTTCCCCACCACTGCTTCCCTTTTGCATACTTTGCAATTCAGTGTCACTGGCTTTCTTGCATATCATATTCCACTTCCTAACTTCTGAAATGAAACACAGCTTATTCAGCAGCAACAAGCAGAAGCTGAAATGTTGTGTCCAATGAGCACCTGCTTGTCAGCTTGGAATGGGTAGCATGTGAAGGAGAATATTATGAAATAAGATTGAAGACCTAGGTTGGAACCAGATTGTGTTAGGCTTTAAAGACAGCCTCCTTACCCACTTTTTACTTGACTGTCAGACTCATCCAGAATATAGTCTGTGTTTGTTCTCCTTCACTTTTTTACCACTAACTCACTATTCCATAATAATCTAGTTTTTACCTCCATCCATACTGAAATTCTGTCACAGGTTACCAGTAACCAGATAGCCTTTACTGAATCCTCATCCCTTTTGAATTTTCCATAGCCCTTGATAGTTTTTCTTTTTCTTTCTCTTTTCCTGGCTTTGGAACACTATTTTCCTGACTTTCCTACCTTTCTCTTACCTCCTAAATGTGGAATTTTTCATGTTTCTGTTCTTTAACTTCTTATCAAATTCACCATTGGTGATCTCCATTTGTATAGCTACAGTTATAACCTCTCTACAGATCTATATGTCTGGTCCTAACCTTTCTGCTGAACTTCCAGATAAGCATTTCCGCAAGTTGGCTAGACATTTCTATTTTAATGTTCTGCCAGGCCCTTTAACTCCACAGTGTTAGTAAAAATTGAGCCTACCTCTTACCCAGATAATGCCTTTCTTCCTGATTTCCCTATTTCTGTTTTTTGCCACCGTGTTTTTATCTTGTTACTCATGCTTGAAATCTTGAGGTCATGTTTGGAGAAAAGGATAAGTCTCAATCAGTTAAAAAGTTATTTTGGGTCAACTTAAAAAGTTCTTTTGGATGAACCCCAATGCCACATGGGTCTTCCATGTTTTGTAGTGGAAAGGGATCTGGCACTTAACAAATGACTTTTGATTTATTGATTCAGCAGTCACCTGTTAAATACCTACTATGTGCAAGGCTTTACTAGGTGTGGGGAATACAGTGATCAACAAAATTATAGTCCTTGCCTTGAGGGATCTTGAAGTCTGATGGCCGGGGACTGAGGCGAAATGCACAAAAACACATTTCATATAAGATTTGATGTGGTCAGGGCAAAGGATCTTGATGGAATGCTATAGAAATTGCTTTTTCGGGGGTGGGGGAGAGGGTAGGAAGTCACAAAGTGTGTCATGGAGAAGGTGCTGCTCAAACTAAAATGAGACCAAGATGTGTGTTGAGTTAGTGGAGATATGGAAAGAATCCATTCTAAGCACAGGAAATGGTGTATATAGATATAGAGGGTAAAGAGCAGGATAAGATTGGGAAACAGCAGTAAGCAGTTGAGTTTGTCTGGACTATTGAATGAGTAAAAGGGAGTGATATGAACAAGGCTTGAAACATAATTCAAAGCCAGATATTTTTATTTAATCGAACAGAAAATAGGGAATCACTGGCAGTTTTTGAGCAGGGAGTCACATTAGATCTGTGCATTAGAAAAATTTATTTTAGCATGTTTGTGAAAAATGGAATGGACGGGAAGGTAGTGGGATCAATTAGAATTCTCTTAAAACAGTCCAGTTAAGAGGACATGAGCTGTAATGATACAAACGTGAATAGAGTAAGGGAAAAGGTATGATGGTTGTAGTAGTGAATAAGATTAAGTTGACAGGACTTGACTGCTAAACTGGACTACTTCTTGTTCCTCAGACACACCCCTAGTTTTCTCATTTTTCGTATTTATCCCATTTCTGTACCTTTGCTTATGTTATTCTTTCTTTCTGGAATGTTGTTCTGCTTTAGTTCTACCTGTTTCATTCTGACTGATCCTTCAAGATCCAGCTCAGAAGTATTCTCATCAATGAAGCCTTCCCAGATTCTTCCTGGTAGATAAAGTCTTGGAATTGCAGTCAGGAAAACCTAAGTTCACATCTTGTCTCTGATATTTATTTAACTATGTACCCACAGGAAATTCACTTAATCCTACTAAGCCTCAATTGCCTCCTCTGTAAAATGGGAATAATGGTAACCGTAGTATCTAACTTAAAAAATGGTTGTGAGACTCAGAGAAAATGTGTGGTAAATACTTCACAAATCTTAAAGAGTGATATAAATGTCAGATACATGAAGACAATCATCATCTCATCTTTTTCAGATAGAAATGATCGTAAGATAAATTGCTGTACTACTTACTCTTTTATACTTAATAGTCATGAATGTTCTTTCTCAGGTGCTTAATTAAAATAACTATTTTTCTTAGTTGAATGAAAGTATTAGTTGAAAGCTCATCTTTAGCACAATTCCACAGGACAGCAGGAATGATATACATGTCTTCCTGTTAATGATAACAGCTGACATTTATATAGCATTTATTATTTTCCAGGCATTGTGCTAAATGCTTTACAGATATTATCTCATTTGATCCTCACAACAACCCTGGGAGGTAGGTGTTACTACCCCTAATTTACTGATGAGGAAACTGAGGCAAACAGAGGTTAAGTGACTTGCCTAAGGTCACACACCCAGGATGCTCTAAGGCCAGATTTGAAGTCAGGTCTTTCTGACTCTAGGCCTAGCATTCTATCCACTGTGGCTGTTCTTACACAATTTTGATCCCTTCTAATTATGAATATTTTGAAAACTTTTTGTTCCAGGTAACTTGGTGATTATGAATGTTAGAAAGGTGGCATCAATTAAAAATAGTGTTCTTAAGGTTTTATTTCTCAGTGTTATGGTTTAGGTAATCATGGTTTGGTCTGTGTTAATGCTCTGTTTCCAGCACAATTTATTGGATAAGTTGTCCAGAGTGTTTTGAAGTCTTTTTTTGTAACATGGGGATTTCCTGTCAATTCACAAAAGATAATGAGCTTCTGTTGTGCAGTTTTAGTCATGAAGTCAGTCTTGTATGTTTCTTAGGTTCAAAATTTTTGCATCCCACAGTGATGTTGTACAATTTTTGCTATTTCTGTAAACAATTTACCATGATCTTGGTTTGGCTTCTTTAAAATGAAAGACTTAGTTTCATTTAGGAGAAGCTATAATTGAGTTAGTTCAGGCAGAACTATAATAGGCTTGCCGTGTTTTATATCAATTGTTCTTGACATTATTGTATTAGTGTAGTGTTTTAAACAGAGCAATTAATTTTCCCCATGGACATCAAATACTCCATCACTCTATAATTGGGTCTATTTTGTGCAGTCTCAGTACATGAATAAGCCTTGTAGATGGTGTTGAGTCAAAGACTTCCTGGTAATCAACAAAGATAACGTAAATGTTATGGCATTTAGGAGTGTTGTTCAGTAGTTACCTTAATCATTAATAAATTCCTCTTCACACCTTGGGATGTCCTTTTTGGAATACCCTTTTTGTTCTGTGATCATTGTGTGAGTTTGTATTAAAATTCCAGAGTTTGTATTAAAGGAAAGGTCTTCAGTTTTTCCCTCTTCAGACGTTAGTAGATTCTTGATTTTATCTGTTATTTTTTTCTAATTTAGTCTCAGTTTTGTGATTTCCTTGTAGTTACCACAATATATTATTGTATGGCTTGGAGCTAAAAGTACTGCTAACAAAAATTAGCATGAATTCCTTGCCTTTCTTACCTTATGGTGCATAATGAAAGCATTCCTATCTTTATGTTATGCATACTTGTGGTGTGTTCACTTCAGTGGTCAAAAGCTATCAGCACTGAAGCGTTTTAAGCCGGTGGGATATTGGTTTTTCTGATATGCTGTGTTGTAGCTTGCCTTCTTGTGATATCATAATGTGAAGAAGAGTTACTCCTGTCTTCCATGTTAGGTTAATCATCACTATGGTTTTGATTCAGGTTAGCCTACAAGTCTATGTTATTCTGTCTTTTTCTTAGATTCTTAGGAGTTTTTTCTTCCCACTAGCAAATGCTAACTCAGTCCCTAGTACTGCCAGAACCCAGCTGACTAACGTTTCAGGGTTCCTGCCAAGCCTTCATAGATAGTGTAACAATCTCAAAGCATATAGAATCTTGTCTGTACTTCATTCTGGCCAGCATTTCCTTAATTTGATATTTCCCCCTGTTAGCCTCACAGTATAGAGGAAGGGTTTGACTTTAAGGAGATGGTTATTATTATTGTTGTTGTTGTCCTCTTCCTGTCATCTTCTTTTATGGGTTCATATAGATATGGTCTTGAGACAAGTCCCTGTCCTGCTGTAAATCCTTTATATTTGGTGTTCTTTCTACTATTTCACAGGTAAATACTATAACTGCTCTTTTGTAGCTGAATAAAAGGATTAGGACATAAGTTCACCTTTTGTAGGCTCCCTAAAAGCATACTTAGTACAACTCCAGTAACTGACAAAACAACCTGAAGAATATATACTTTATCTGATCCCTCTCTGACCAATGTGTTTTTCTGTTTATAAACTTTTTGTATCTCTTTTGCCCAACTTTTACATTATAGCTTTTATTATACATTTTTGTGTATATATCTAATCTACCCTACCAGACAGTAAGTTCTCTGTGGCCAGGCATAGTGCCAGTTCTTCCTATTACTCAGTCTTAAGCAGTGATTT